AAAAAAGAACGCTGTAGAAAAAAGTTCAAGATATAGTTAAATATTTATAAAATTTCCACTTTAAACTTTTTATATTTTATATTATTTACATAGATTTGAACTTACAAGTAAGAACTACACCAGTTGCTTCAGGATCATCTTCCCTTTTAATATTTCCGAAATTAATGGATGAGAAAGATGCTACTGGTGCTAATTTGCTAGATTTTTCTTGTGAAGAAGCTTCTGAAAATTTTTTATGAACATTGTAAAATAGTTTCTTGACATAAATATCATTAGAAATGAAAAAAAATACACATTGACCCTTACAAACAACTGACCTTTGTGACATTAGGGCTTAATTACCTGTACCGTTACTCCCACATTCAGCAAGTTAAACTGCACGGTCACAGTTAGAAGTAGAAGATCTATAAAGACGAAACGAAATCTAAAAGTAAAAGTGAATGCAGGGAGCATATATCCCATTTTTCGAAAAGGAGAAAGCGCATTTCAAAAGAATTCTTTTCAGGTTATTTTTTTGGAATTCTGTTTTTATATACGTTTAAATAAAAAATTAATTTATAATAACCCATTAATCAATTAAAGCTTTAATTAATTACGTAAAATTCTGCAAATTTTTTAATAGTATCGAATATGTTTCAACGGAGTTCATTCTCAATATGTTGATAATCTATTTACAGTGATAGCTCGGTTTTCGTCGATAATCAGTCCGCGAAATCCGAAAACGACGAAAAACGAGGCAATTATTTTTATACAATTTCATTTAAATTCAATTAATTCGTTCTAGATACTCCAAAAACATACCAAAAACACATTTTATAAAGAATAAATATAGTGTTTAATACTTAAAACAATAAGAAATTAATATAAAATAAATACAGGCCCTAAATAATATGTTTTTGAATGATTCAAATTCATTAATAAGTGTTCGACATCTTAATTGTTTGCGATCTCTGTATCGTTCGCACATTCACGCTTTTCGCTACATTAGCCTCCTTTATTGCTTCCTTTTTCGCCGCAATGGAACATGTCCTGGATTGCGACTTCACGTATATGCGGCCGATTTCAGCAATCTTAATGCTGTTCTCGTATTTTTCAATAGTTTCCCTCTTCAACTCGAAAGTATTCCTGGCTTTCTTCTTCTAAGGACTGATGGCTTTGGAAACTTTCTTTGTTCGCAAGATGGAGCTAAAAAGGAAAGGAAAGCAATGGAATTGCTTGGCTTGACGCGCGGGGTAATGCTCAAACATCGAGAAACAACGCCACACTGAGCAGGAAGACTCGTGGATCGCCCTTTGTTTTCGAAATATTAGCAGAAAGTTCACTTTGGCACGCCAGCGAGATCCGAGGCAAGCTACGAAAACCGAGACAAATTTTCCGCCGAAAAAATCGACGATAACCGAAGAAAACGAAAACAGAAATTACTGTATCTCTAATACTTTTGTAAGCAAACTTTAATTAATCATTGTTCTATTATCTGGATTTAATTCTTCAGGACGTTCATTAAATTTACTAATATTGATATATATACAAACACATTCTCAATTAATTTCAATAACAGTATATTTTTACTCACTTCCATCAAATTAAATATGTCAATAACATAATATTTACTAATTAAAAATGCATAATATAAAAGGAAAGATCAAGGAAAAAAAAGAAAGGAAGTCAAAGAATAAACAATACCATAAGAAGAATGAAGAAAATGAACTAGACAATTATAGTTTTACTTAAATGATACTTGTTTCATTTTATAACTTGTGATCAAATCATTCACCCAAACCTAATACAGCTATAAACAACTAACCTTTTGATTAAAAAGGTCAATCCAAATACCAAGTTTTATTATTTTAATTTAAAAAGCACAGATTTGGTTCATTTGANTTTCTTCTTCTAAGGACTGATGGCTTTGGAAACTTTCTTTGTTCGCAAGATGGAGCTAAAAAGGAAAGGAAAGCAATGGAATTGCTTGGCTTGACGCGCGGGGTATAACTTGTCAAACATTGACATGTCTAAGTATATGAGTGTTCTATATGTATGTTTGACTTCTGCACCTTTTATACGTAAGATATGTTCAAAGCAATTTACAATAATAAAACTTTCAGGTACACAATACAATTTATAATTAATAACATAATTATGTTTTAATAGAATTAAAAGATACAGCAACATTCTGAGACATCTTCAAAGTTTTCGAAATGACAAAAAGTGCAGGACATAAGCTATAGGAAAAAAATAACAATTGATTCAATAAAATAAACAAATTTTTTAGTAAATATTAGAAATTATTTGAAATGTAACAAAGTCTTATATAAAATAGCTAGAAGCTATACACATGTTAGAAACTTTTATGGATAAATTTTATCGCGAGTTCTGCTCTATGTATTTCTAGTGATGACAACGACTATATACTAAACCTGTATACAAGTCGAAATCTCACAGTTTTACGATTTTAAAACAACAAATGGTTCACTTGAGGATGTAAAAAGATTTTATGTTTGTAAATCTGACGTTGTCATCTTCAATGTTATATTGGTTGTTAGTTTAACATTAGGGGTATAAAACAGAATATCTACTCACAAGTCATTTGCTGTCATCCCTAGACCAATGAATAACAACAATAGCCATAAAACCTGATGGAAAAGAGAAAAAATATGTTACTAAAATTATTATATTACTTGTAATTTATTGGTTTCTATAAAATCGAATTTAAATATAGCCTATTTATTTCCTATAGAAACAAACAAAAGATCACAAATTAAAATGTTCAATTGTGATTTATAAGTATAACACAATCAAAATTTTGATTCAGTTTCTAATTGCATTTTGTTAAAAACATGCAGATTTTTAATTGTTTTTATGTAATAAACACAATTATATTTTTAAAATGGTGCCTTTAAATTCCGTTTTATTAATAATTATTATTGATTGAATTTTCAATAAAAAATAATGATGATACTAGTACTATGTAGGACCTTGGCCTTCGACAATCGTAGCCCAATCCTGACGATCTTTTGCACGTTTCCTCCAATCACCGATTCTTGTCTTCCTCAAATCATTCTCCTCATCATAGCCATTGCTTCCGTGGTCTTCTTCTACATCTCCTGCCACACGGATTTCCTCTATAGATCTTGGCAGCTCTATCATCTGACGTTCGCTCAACATGCCCTAACCATCTAAGTCTGTTACTCTTTATTTCCACAACTATATCAGTATAACCATACAGTTCTACCAATTCATTGTTTTTCCGCATACTGTATTGCCCCGCCTCACACACTGCTCGAAATAACTTCCGTAGAATTTTCTCTCCCATCTTTTCAAGAGTTTCTCCACAGCCAGTCATTGTCCATGTTTCCGAACCATACATCACTATTGGTCTAATAACTGTGCGATAAACAGGCACCTTCAATCTTCTACACAGGCTATGATATTTAAGAATTCTAATCAGAGCGCAGTAAGCTCTATTTCCTCTGCAATCCTTACCTTTAACTCTTAAGTTGTTATCACTAGTTACCAGTACTCCCAGGTACTTTAATTTCTCACATCTCACATAGTTGACACCGTTTAACTTGATGTATTTGTCTTCCCTAACAGCAACTTTCCTAGACAAAAACAAAGTACTACGTTTTACTGTGGTTCACACAAAGCCTCAATTCTTCCGCCTCACTTTCCAATCTACGAAATCTTTCCTCTGACTTTCCCAGGCTACGGGACGGGATACCAACATCATCGGCATAAGGTAAACTTTGGTTAACACAGTTGAACAGATTGCCAGTTTGCAAATTGCCCTCCACTCCACTCCATCTCATCACTCTCACCAGAACTACGTTAAACAGCAGTGTGGATAACACATCACTCTGCCGTAAACCTTGATTAATTTCAACTACTATAGTAAAATTTCCCTCTACTTTGACTTGGCATTTTGTGCTGGCGAGAGTCATTTGCACCAATCTGATTAATTTACATGGAAACTTCATATCTATCAACATCTGGTACAAGGACCTCCTTTTCTCACTATCGTAAATCCATATAGAGTTGGTGAACATCCATATTAAACTCATAGCACTTTTCCATTATTTGCTTTATAGTGAAGATGTGATTCATCGTTGATCTACCTTGCCTAAATCCATAATGGTAGTCACCCAGTCTCTCTCTCTTCTACTAGTGGAGTGCGCTTCCTTTCCATGACTTTAGCTAAGACATTATACACAGTACTAAGTAAAGATATACCACGATAGTTTTTGAATATTGCTCTCTTCCCCTTCTTATGAATCGGGCACACAACAGCCAGCCCTCCACTGGTCGGGCATCTCTTCCTTTTCCCATACTTCTAATATCAACTGGTGAACAAGCAGTGTCAACAGTTCACTCCCCCGTACTAAATCATCTCTGCTGCAATATTATCACTCTCTGGTGCCCTATTATTCTTCAGGCTCTTAATTTCCAGTCTAACTTCCTCTCCGTTGACGTGGGTATTTGTATTACATCACAGACAGCAATCACCCACTGTCGCTCGTACTCAGTTTCATCTTGTTCTGGTATTATAGTTTCTGCAGTAGCGTTCAACAGTTCACTAACATAGTCAGGCCACCGATCCAGGATCTGTTCTTCTCCCCCTATAAGATTTCCATTTTTATCTCTGCAAAACACGGCATGAAGTTGAAAACCCTACTTCTGTTCCTGTATTCTTTTATAGAACTTCCTTACTTCCTGGTCACTGTATTCTTCCTCCAACTCCGCAATCCATTTCTTCTCTCTCTTTTCTTTATTCTACAGAATTCGTCTGCCTCTTGCATACATTTTTTTATACAGTAGAGCGTCGATTTTCCGAAATTCAATCATCCAAAACGTCAATCATCCGAAAGAATTCCAGTCGGCAAATTTAAATTTTCGCCAGTGCTGTGGCGCTTCAATCTTTGGCTATGTCTTGGGCTACTCAAATATTTTACGTTTTTGATACTAAATTAACATCTGAAGTATAATTTTTTNTATTTAGTAATATTTAATAATAAAATAACTAATGATAAAATAATTCTTAACACAGTTAATAGTATAAATAATGATATTAAATTTGATATAGAATTGGAAAAAGATAATAAAATTAATTTTCTTGATATAACAATAAATAATGAAACAGATAAATTTACGTTTAATACTTATAAAAAACCATCCAATGTAAATAAAACAATAAACTATCACTCTAGCATTCCACAGACAGTAAAAAAGAATACATATATAATGGAATTAAAAAATATATATACAAGAACCACCAACGAAAATGACCGAAAAATTGAATTAAAAGAATTAGAACAGAAATTCATTTTAAATAGTTATCCCAAGAAAACTTTGATGATATGGAAAACACAATATGATAAAAATAGGTTTAATACAAAAATTAAAAAAGACAAAACATATAAACCCTTCCCATACATTGATAATATTTTTAATAATTGTAATAAAAATCTTAAAAAAGAGAATGTGGCATTGGCCCCAGCTTTGACCAACAAAATCTCACAGAATGTTCATATTAATAGATCAAAAACAGACAAATTTAATAATGATGTATTGAAGAAAACTGGTGTTGTATATAAAATCAATTGTAATTGCCAAAACCCGAAATATTATATAGGTGAAACTGGTCGTACATTAGAGACACGTATTAAAGAACACGAAGCTGCCATTAGATTAAATTATAACAACTCTCCCTGGTATAACCATATTAAAAATAGTAAATGTAAAATTGATAGAAATAATATTAAAATCTTACACACAGAAAAAAATATATATAAAAGAAAATTCAAAGAACATATTGAAATAATAAAAAATAAAAACAATAATTTAATAAATATCTCTAATGGCATGCAAATAGAACAACAGTGGTACGACATCATAGAGGGCGTGGCAATAGACCAATAAAAAATTTTTTTGTGATACTTAACACTAAAAGAATAATTGTTAGCTTACATGTTGGAGATGGACATAGGCTACATTTTACTGCGAGAAAATATCTAATTCCCACGAGTAAGATCTGACTGAACACATGAGACACCAAGAATTCTCATTTCCTATGATCTCTTGTAACAGAATTTGCATCTTCCCAATTAATATTTCAGAGATCACCCTTAAATTATTGCCCCAAGTTTGGCTTGCGATCGTTTGGCAATTTAGTATGTATACTATTCGGGCTTTGTGTTGTTATTTATATTTATTTTGTTTGTACAAAATAAAAAAATAATTTTTAACGATGCAATAGTCTTTGTTAGGCTTAACATCGACGAAAATTCAACACGAAGCGACACGCAAAGGATAAAAATTTTAACATCGGATACGTTAAACTATTTTTTCGTACATAAATCGGTTATCCGAAATATCAGTTATACGAACAACCCCAGTCCCCAATTGATTCGGAAAATCGACGCTCTACTGTAATTACATAATACGAAAGCTCTGTTACGTTCCTTAACTAGTTACTACATATATAACACGTTACGTTATACAGATAGTTTTCTGATGAAGATCCAAAGATGAAATTTTACGCTGAAAGTGAACATGCTAAAATCTAGCTATTGTTTACTATTGTTTATGACGTTCTATATTACATAAATATACCGTTTTGAGATGATAATAAATTTGAAAAATTAGTACACTTACACTAAGTCCAACAGCAATTCTGTCACCTTCATTTCCAAAAGAACAGTACATATAAGCGGTGTAATCTATATAACCAAGAGTGCTTCTACAATCAAGTGTCCTTCTCACAAAGTTACAACGTTGATTCTCATCTATACCATTCACGGCACGACACTACAAGTAAAATTAAATTCAAATATATACAATTATACATTCTGTAAATTTATTTAATAATAAAAAAAAATGTTTAAAGCAATTTACTTTGTGTAATTGCACACGAGCAGACAAACCGGCAAACAATATAATTTAAATAGCCTACTGATAAACGCAGATAAAAGTAAATTATATTTGAATAAATTAAAGTCGTAAATATATGTATTAAAAAATAAATTATAAAGAAAAAAACATACATTTATAACAAGACGATTTTTCAAATGGAGTGCGTATAAAACCGAAAATCTCGAAAATAAATCAAGAAAAAATAGTATTTGATATAAGCGAATGGATAAAAATTTTTCTTTAGAGATGTATCTGATATCTCATCATTAGCTACATTCCTGTAAGAGTTATTGAATGTCTTTCTTTGCCAAGTATTTTGTACCACAGTGAAGACATACGATGCTCAATGTCAATCTGTCACCAAACCATTAGTCTTCTACTGTCTTGTAAAAGTCGCTTTTCTGACTATAACAGAAAGAGAAGTAGGAAAACTTATTTTATTGGTTTTGATAGAAAGGTTATAGAGTACTTCAACTGTAGTAGATATCCTATCAATCAAAGGTATACTCTATTACTTTACTTACGTATTTTAATGTAAAGGTTTAAGATTATATAAAGAAAAGTTTTGTTATAGGTTACTTTTGGTTAGAAGAAAAGTCAAAAATAAGGTTTTTGAGAAATAAAATATATTATATGGTACACAGTGGTACACAGAAGATAGAATGTATTGATACTTCTCTAAGAATCAAACTTATTTATAATTTTAATAAATAGCGTATTCTAGACATAATAATTTGTTAAAACATGCACTCTTCCTGTGACTCAGACCTAGTAAGTATATAGATGACTATGCTGGGATCCTCCACCACTTGTTAGTGTTTTGTGATTTTATCACTCAGCTACTTTAGAGCAGATACTTTCTGATTGTAAAGGTTCCAAATCATTCATTACTAATCTTAAATAATTAATATTTATTTCACTACTAATAAAATTCTAATATAAGAGATACACTTAATACGTTTCTCAACACCTAGTCTAAAGTCAATTTCTTTTCACACAGAGATGTTAGGTGAGTGTACTAAAAATGTGTTCGATCAAAGATGATACAGGAAATGAGAAAAGAAGCTTAATATCTAAATTAATATTTAATTTCACTGCTCAATCGAAGCCTATGTAATGTATGAATATAAGAATATAACATTCTCACATTTCATAAGACCACAACTGACCACTAGTAGTGGTTTCGCCACTACTAGTTGATTGGTTACATGGAGTTTTTTAAGTATTCTTCGTGTGTTTAGCATCTGAGCCAGTTTTCTCTGAATGTGCTCCCAGGAGGCATCTTTTAGACACACCGTCCATGCATTGCGATGCCTTGTTCCATTAATCTAATCATCCTTACATTGCATAAGCACTACTGGAAAACGAACTAGGACAGATTACTATGAATGCCTTTCTGCTAGATATTTACCACTTAGCACCCATTTACCCAATCCCATTGTTCTTATATGATACCATTCACTTCGAGAGACTTGGACCGCATCAGTTACGTAGGTATAATTTTGAGGCTCCTGAAAAACTTTTGCTGAAATCAAAATTATAATTATAAGAAATTGCTATCTACAAAACCATATATTGTTAAAAGTAAATTTACCAATTACTTTATGATAGTGTTTGCAGTTATATTAGTCAAAATAATATTTAACAGCCACATAATACTTTGCTAAATTCTCGGAAAAGTGTTCTTGTGAAATCATCTTTTAAATAATTTAACCTTTTACATTGAAAAACTTAAGAAAATGAAAAATTTGTCATATGTCAGCAAAATATTTCATTGATTTTCAAATTTTTACGATATTTAGTTTTATAGAATGCATATACTAAAAAATATTGTTCAGCTTTATTAAATTGTTTGAAAAGGTGTTTTATTTCGTTTAATTGAATAGCACAACGTAACACATGGGCAATCTGCCAAAGAATGCTTTGGGCAGATTTATGTATGAGAAACTGTCCGCTGTGTTAACTGTCTAACACTTAAACAGCGAATATTTCCAGTGTTGTTTAAGTGTTAAACACTTAAAGACTTGAGATAATTTCATCGTGTAGCTTTCAAGAATTATTATTTAATTAAAAATTTTAATTATTATTATAACAAAAATCAAGAATTACTTTGTGTCTTGTTCATTTCCTGGTAAATTTTAGTGCAACAACGAAACCTGAACTATAACGAAAATTAAATCGTGTGTACCTAACATATCTAGAGCCATTGGTATTCGTTGGTCGGGCAAAAAATAAACTCAACAAAAATTGATTATTAGATTCTTTCGTACTTCTAACCTTTTTCTTATATTATATTCTAATATTTTATTTATATAATTACTAATGTTATCTTACGTAACGTCTTAAAACACCAAGTGATTAAACACCTGAGGTATCATTATGAAATCAAACTTTATCAGGAAGCTATGAAAGTGCTTGATACATGTGGTATAATTTATATATATAAATGAGAATGTTAGTTTGTAAGTTCGTTTGTTAGCTATACATTCCTATGCCGTTCTACCAATTGCTACGAAACTCGGCAATTACATTAGAATGCTTTTAACTGAGATAATTTCGTACATCTCATCCCATAATATCAATTGGATTTATATAAATCAATTAACTTCTATCTACATTCGATTTGCTGATTTATACGTAGTGCCAATATATGGCGCTATCTGTAACTGAGCAAATCAAGGCCTATAAACATACGGTCAGAACACGATACTGTTATGCATCGCGGCAGTGGCCATGTTGAGTCTTTTTCGGTGTGTACTGTGTTTCTAGATGGATGCTGATTGTTTGTTTCTTTCGATTTCAATTAGATGGATATGTTGTTGTGTTATGCCACGGTGTTATTCCATGGTTGTGGGATATCTGAAAGATCGTGTCTATAGAGGAGGTATACGAACTCTGCCTGAATTAAAAGCAAGCATAACACGCCATATTGCTGCAATTTCTCAAGAAACTTTTCGAGCTACTGTTGAACACGCTATAAGGCGCTTTGAACATGTAATTGCCGCAAATGGACTGCACATTGAACAAATGTCGTAAATAAAAATATTTTGCATGTTTCTATTTTGTGTTTCATGTTCTTCATGCACCATTTTTTCCCCTAATGGTAAAAATTTAAACTAAATATTTTTCTGCTTTTTCCTTTTTTTTCCATGGTCCATATAACGTATATACCAGGTTTCATCAAAATACATCAAAGAGAATAGGCTCTATACAGTTGTAATTATAGCAACTTTAATTATAACCACCCTGTACATAGAGATAAATATAATTTTATATTTAAGAAATTTGTGTGATTATATTAAAAATTTAATATTTTATTCCCATAAATATCGTTGCCATCTGCGGCAATGAGAACGTCAAAGCATTTCGTAAATCATTCGTTAAGATGAAAAATTTAATATGCCAAATGTTAAATACACATTAAATTACACCATTCCTCTTTATTAACATGTTTAATTTTAATTAAACAGAAGTTATTTAAACTACACGCGCAGCACCGCGGCGTAACGCATGTACTTTAATGACAGGTTTTTAAAATTGTTAGCATCTTTTTAATGTTAACAACTATAAATCCTGTGTAAAACAAAAGGCCAGAATTTTCCGTTTTATACAGGAGATTTCCAGCAAAAGATTCTGCTTTACTCAGAAGCAATTTTTACGCGACATTCTCTTTTGTTTCCGCATTAAACAGGTTTCCGGCTTATAATAGTATTTTATATAGAAAATTATATTGTTCCGAGGTTGGTTTTCCATTTAGGCAGGTTTCTGTTTAATAGACAGGTTTTAGACAGGTTTTACAGTACAAATCAGCATTATAAATTCTAAAAATTATCTGAAATACAATTTATAATGATTATAAAGTCTATTTTTTTACATTTTTTAAATTTTTATTGCAGCTTATTTATTAATTTAAAATTGATTTATGTTTTTATTCTTATTTTAATACGATAAAACAGCAGTTTTTAATGCTGACTTTTGCTTATGAAGTTAAAATCATCAATCTGAATATTGTTTTTTCTTCTTTTTTTTAAATTTCATGCTGATGATTTTAACTTCATCAGCAAATAAACTTTTAGTTTCTTTTTCTTTCTTTTTTTTAAATAAAATAAAATTTGAATTAAAAATACTAATTAATTTTACTAAATTAATAATACTAAAAATATTTTAATTCAAATAAAATTTGAATTAAAATATTTTAATTTTATTACTTCTTATTAGTTTATTATCATAAACAAAATTTTAATTAAAATATTTTAAAATAATTAAAAACATATAATAATAAATATTTAATTTAATTTTAAAACATTAATATTAAAAAATGTTTTTTTTTTTAATTTCATTTAATTGTTTTAGTAGAAGTTTAGAAGTTTTGGTAAATTATGTATACAGTATATATAATATATAATATGTGTACAATATATACATAAACTATCTAAAATTCTATTTATTATCCTGTATATGTAGTATATAATAATTTCACATACATTAACTATATATTAAATAAATTATACACTAATTTATATAAATAAATAATTAACTTATATATGCAGTAATATCTTGGTTTTCTTCGAAACGCCGACGATATCCGAGGTAATAGACGAAAACCGAAACAAATTTTTCGTTTACAAAATTAGTAGCCAGGTCACGCTGCTAATTTCGCAAAAACAAATAATTCGGCAGTTCGTTTAATAATCAGTTTTATGAAGAAAAACTTCATATTTGCATACTTCGTACTCGTTTGTATCCTTGTCCAATTTGCACAGCTTGGCATAATGCAGTTATTGAAGACTACTGGGTTTCGATAAAAATTAAGACAGCATCGGCGCAATTATTCAAGATATTACAGTTATTGACTAGTAAAGAATTTTCAGAGTCCTGCCACAAATAGGCTATCAATACATATTGATTATTAACAATCTGTGACATGCCATAATAATATGTAAAAATTTTAAAAACTAATAAACAGGATAAAAATTAATAAATAAAAACGTATTATGTCAGTTTATGAGTTAATTATACCTTCTATTTGCATAAATGTCCTCAACCTTAACACAAAATAAGAAAAGGGTGACTTTTTTAAGAACTTTGCAAGATTTTCCGGGATAAGACGATCCCGAGATCCCGTTAGAGAAACCCTAGTAAATTCCATGTCAAATGTTCATTTATTCTTTACATTAGTCTTTTATATTCATTTTATATTAATTTCTTATTGTTTTTAATATTAAACACTATATTTATTCCTATAAAATGTGTTTTTGGTATGTATTTTACAGTGTCTAGAACGAATTAATTAAATTTACATTGATTCATTCGAAAATAATTGTCTCGGTTTTCGTAGGTTTCAAATTTTGCCGAGTGTTTTCGGACAGATTATCGACGAAAACCGCGGTATTACTGTATATATATATATATTAATATTTATGATGCGTTTATATAATATAAAAATTAAAAACATGTTTGTAAAAAGCTTACCGTTTCAGTAGTGTTATTCATGTTTAATTTTCTATATGCATGTGTAAGGTTTTTGTATAGACAGTCTATATATAGTAATCTCTCGATTGACGCAATTGTGTTTTTTGTAATAACGCCGTTTAAAAATTGATAACAAGTTTCAAATAGTGTAGTGTTATTTCTAGAATAGATTTATTTACTTTTATTAGAGTAGATTTTTTACAGCTATCAGCACACACTTGGCATGCTACCTGAATGACGAAGCACAGGTAAAAATGATATTGACTCTGGCCGAATTTACTGTCAAATTTTTCTATGGCTCACCATTGGCCAAGCGGTTCTGTTCTCTGAAAACTGTGAGTTCGGTCGTGGGTTCGCGCCTCGCCACGACGGGCTGGCCACGTGGAGTTTTCCGGGTTTTCTACACGTCTGTAACGCCTGAATAGGGGCCAGTTATACTTAAAAAGACTTCCCAGAAGGCATTCCCGTAGGCCAGGGCTTCTTAAACTATTTTATTCACGACCGCATTTATGATTGTGACTTTTTTCGCGACCCTCAAATATAAAATAAAGATATATACAAATTTGCAAAAACAATAATGGTGTACTACCACAGTTCACTCTTGTGTTACAATGGAACACAGACAACTGAATACACTGATAAGCGACAACACTACACTAGTTCACACTACAATCAGTGTTGCTGAATTGTTGTCTCGCTGCACCAGAAGTGCCACAAAGCGCAACTCACGAAACCTATGACACAAAGCGTGCCATTTTCAAACTCTCATAAATTATTTTCAATATTTTGCATTAAAATCTCGCGACCCCAAGATTTCGCTAAACGATCTCAAACGGGGTCACGACCCACAGTTTAAGAAGCCCTGCCCTAGGCAGATCGTCCAAGTGTTGCGTTGCCATAACTTAACAAAACAAACAAACAAACAAACAAACAAATTTCTCTAAACTGTTCTTATGGGAAATTGACAGGTATGACATAATTTTGTCCATATTTTGAGAAATTGTATTATCTTTTGTCAATATTGGTACATAAGGAAGTGACATCATCACAACTTTGCTTACTTTTTAATTGGAACAGAATTCTAAGTTTCCTGTTTATTATAAATTTACTAAAAGCACAAGTACCAATTCCAATAATCCGGGACTCATTTAGCACCCAAAAAATTTTAAGTAGTGTCGTGTCCCGTAAAGTTAAAGTATAAAAATAATTTTTATAAATTTAAGGCCGCATGGATTGCCTCTTAGAGTAAGTCCTCCTTAAAGGTGGCACCCTATGGCTACAAGTCATACCACAATTCTTGCCCAGAGCTGCGGGTTATCCGAATGACAGTTCTACAGAATTCACTTAAATAGTGTATATACCAGCGATTCGAGACATATATTATATCCTGTTTACTAGAGGTACCAGATTTAAACTGTATCGGATTAACAAGGATTTCATTAACCAAGATCACACGAGACTCTATGGCCGAGGAAGTTGAGGCATCAACCTATCGTTATGAGAGATCCAGGATTTGGATTAGCAGTTGCAAACATTTTTCATTTTTTATTCCATGTGCTCGATTAATCATTGCTCATTGTAGGCTCCGTCGAACCCGTGATGGCTATGGTAAAAATTCCTTTAGTGTCCTCGGGGCAAAAAGATTAAAGTTAAACATGATAAAATTTTTAAAAAATTCATCCNTCACTTGATGTCTTCTCTAGGGATTCCATGTCAACGCTGATACTGCCTATCAGTAAATATGTCAGTTTTACTTTAAGTGGTAGAAAAATTCCATGTTTACTGTATTTTAAAGCTTTTAATACATATACTTTAGATACAAAAATCTAAAAGATACGTTTAAAAATTGAATATAATTAATTTGAACTTCGGCATTAATTGCTAAATATGTAAGTGATGATTGTTAATTTCTGAATTAATAATTAAAATATCACTGGAAATTTTATATAATAATCACAAAATACATCATTTAAATGTATTTTTAATCATTTTATCAACAATATTTTAAATTACAGAATAGAACATATGAAATTATTTTAATTTCTTAAAAAATATTATCAAAATCGATAAATGTATATTTTTATAAATATAATCTTTAAATATTTAAAAAATAAAATTAAAAGTATTCTATTACATGTAGGACGACACCCAGTTATTTCTGGTGGTGTTGTAGTGACAAAAATTCCAGATTCTTGTTCTGGTGAAATGGGTTGAGAATGTTGTGGATTATCCCAAAAATCATTAAGATAAAAGAACGCTGTAAAGAAAAGTTCAAGATATAGTTAAACATTTATAAAATTTCCGCTTTAAACTTTTTATATTATATATTATTTATATAGACTTGAACTTACAAGTAAGAACTACACCAGCTGCTTCAGGATCATCTTCCCTTTTGGNATTATCCCAAAAATCATTAAGAAAAAAGAACGCTGTAGAAAAATGTTCAAAATATAGTTAAATATTTATAAAATTTCCGCTTTAAACTTTTTATACTTTATATTGTTTATATAGACTTGAACTTACAGGTAAGAACTACACCAGCTGCTTCAGGATCATCTTCCCTTTTGGCTTTTCCAAAATTAATGGATGAGAAAGATGCTACTGGTGCTAATTTACTAGATTTTTCTTGTGCAGACACTTCTGAAAGATTTTTACGAACATTGTAAAATGGTTTCTTAACATAAATATCATCAGAAATGCAAAGAAATACACATTGACCCTTACAAACAACTGACCTTTGTGACATTAGGGCTTAATTACCTGTACCGTTACTCCCACATTCAGCAAGTTAAACTGCACGGTCACAGTTAGAAGTAGAAGATCTATAAAGACGAAACGAAATCTAAAAGTAAGAGTGAATGCAGGGAGCATATATCCCATTTTTCGAAAAAGAGCAAGCGCACTTCAAAAGAATTCTTTTCAAATTATTTTTTTGGAATTCTGTTTTTATATGTTTAAATAAAAAATTTATATTTAATAACCCATTAATCAATTAAATCTTTAAATATAATAATTAATTACGTAAAATTCTGCATACTTTTTTAATAGTTTCAAATATATTTGAACGAAGTTCATTATCAATACGTTGATAATGTAATTTCAGTCATAGCTCGGTTTTCGTCGATAATCAGTCCGCGAAATCCGAAAACGACGAAAAACGAGGCAATTGCTTTTATACAATTTCATGTAAATTCAATTAATTCGTTTTAGATACTCCAAAATACATACCAAAAACACATTTTATAGAGAATAAATATAGCGTTTAATACTAAAAACAATAAGAAATTAATATAAAATAAATATAAAAGATTAATGTAAAGAATAAATGAACATTTAACGTGGCATTTCCCATGATGCAGCTAAAAGGAAAGCAATGGAATTGCGTGTATTCAAAATCTCAGCATCAATCTAGTGCAATGCTGCTGGAAGTATCGCAATTGCTGGCTTTTTCTGGAGAACACAAACGCTGATATCCAGGAATTTTGGGAGAGGAAAAACAATAAAAATGGAGAATGATGTAGACTTCCACATTATGTTAAATTTATTTTTGAACTTATTTAATGAGAACAGCTTAATGAGAAATGAATATTTCAAAAAGAGAAATAGAGATAAAAATTTTTTAAATTTCTGTAGGTGTTTAAATAATTAAATCAATCCTAGATTACATTTTAACAACAAAAAAATTATGTGAAGTCTTACATAAATATACTAGTGTATTAAAATATTTTATTAATGTACTAACTGAATATTAATTTATTCAGGGTTTATTCATCAACAAATAAATAAAATTCTAAACTGTCAACACAAAATAGAGCTCTTACGATCATCATTGTGACTGCCATCTTGTTTGCTGGTGTATCGAGCACCAAAAAAGATGCTTGCAGCAATCAGAAGTTATCTGAGATTTTGAACAGAGGTGCTGGTTGCATGCTGAGATTTTGAATACGCCTATTGTTTTGGCTAGATGCATGGGGTAATGCTCACACAACAAGAAACATCACACTGAGCAGGAAAACGCGTGGTTTCTCAAAATTAGCAGTGAGGATACATGGAAATGTCAACGATATCCAAGGCAACTAATGAAAACCAATATAAATTTTTTGTGAAAAAAATTGACAATAACCGAAGTCAATGAAACCTGAAGTATTACTGTAAAGTAATAAAATAGAATGATGAAGTAAAATAAGTGCACTGTTAANTTATACGTGTTTTGGAAATGTTGAGTGGAATTAGTCTAGAATCGGTTAATTTTATAGAAGAAAATCTTTCAAACAGCCTTAGTCCGTAAAGTTCACACCTATCGGGCTGCGATTGGCTCATGTATTTAATCATTCCTACAACGTAAAATTCGATTAGCGTGGAACGTATCTAAGCGTTATAGGGGGGTCTACCGTATGGTTTTTGAAGGCTTTTGTACAAAAAGTCAGAAAGTAAGCTTAGAGAAAATTGGGTGGTAATACAGAATCTTACTTTATATTTTCAAAAAAAATGCTTTAATGTAGACAAAAACAAATAGGAAAGTACAAAGAATGTTAAATAATTACAAAATTATCTACTCAAATGTATTTTATTGCAAAAATGCTTTTGTAATAGAAAAATATGACCTCCATCAACGATATATATTCAAGCAGCTCTTTTTCGATATTCTCAGGAAGAATTGACTTTCTACCTAGTGTCTTTTTGACAAATTGCTCAGAACGAATGTCTGCTTGCAAAGAGAGAGTTCGGAGAAGTCCTGTTCCATATTACTGTAAAAGCACCAACGGGGTCCGTATTTCACGCATCGCCATCTTGAATTAACTTATGTCTGTTAAGACCAAAATTTAAAAAACATGAACATCACACAGATTAATATGTACCCATAAGTCTCTGGAACGGAATACATGCACCAGCGAATCTACAACTACACGATTTATATTTTAAAAATAATTAAATTCACTTAGCATTCAAAAATTGCGAATTTTGAAAAAAACAAATTTGCTGATTAAATACGGACAACTGTTTAACTGAAGTAAAACGGTTTTTTCCCCTGCTATGGATGTCTGCCTAGTTCAGTTCATCCACAGTCCGCTACAGTTCGCCTTTATTATCAGTTCGAAATGGGGTGGTTCCATAATACCCGCAGTGTTCCATAATANTTGCTGATTAAATACGGACAACTGTTTAACTGAAGTAAAACGGTTTTTTCCCCTGCTATGGATGTCTGCCTAGTTCAGTTCATCCACAGTCCGCTACAGTTCGCCTTTATTATCAGTTCGAAATGGGGTGGTTCCATAATACCCGCAGTGTTCCATAATATCACCTTTTCCTCTATGATTTTGATTGATTCAAATTCATTAATAAGTGTTCGACATCTTCAACTGTTTGCGATCTCTGTATCGTTAGCACATTCACGCCTTTATTGCTTCCTTTTTCGCCACAATGGAACATATCGTGGATGGCGACTTCTCGTATATACGGCCGATTTCAGCAATCTTAATGCCGCTCTTGTATTTTACAATAATTTCCTTCTTCAACTCGAAAGTATTCCTGGCTTTCTTCTTTCAAGGATTGATGGCTTTGGAAACTTTCTTTGGTCGCAAGATGGAGCTAAAAGGAAAGGAAAGCAATGGAATTGTTTGGCTAAAAGCGCGGGGTAATGCTCACACATCGAGAAACAACGCCACACTGAGCAGGAAGACTCGTGGATCGCCCTTTGTTTTCGAAATATTAGCAGAAAGTTCACTTGAGCACTCCAGCGAAATCCGAGGCAACCGACGAAAACCGAGACAAACTTTTCGCGGAAAAATTCGACGAAAACCGAAGTCAACGAAAACTGAGGAATTACTATGTCTCTAATACTTTTATAAGCAAACTTTAATCATTGTTCTATTATCTGGATTTAATCCTTTAGGACGTCCGTTAAATTTAATGATATTGATATATATACACACATTCTCAATTAATTTCAGTAACAGTATAATATCTTTACTCACTTCCATCAAATTAAATATGCTAAGAACATAATATTTACTAATTAAAAATGCATAANTTGTAATAGTTTTAAATATGTTTCAACGGAGTTCATTCTCAATATGTTGATAATTTAATTATCTCTAATAATTTATGTAAGCAAACTTTAATCATTGTTCTATTATCTGGATTTAATCCTTCAGGACGTCCATTAAATTTACTGATATTGATATATATACAAACACATTCTCAATTAATTTCAGTAACAGTATAATATCTTTACTCACTTCCATCAAATTAAATATGCTAATAACATAATATTTACTATTTAAAAAAAGTAAAAAGACGCAAAAAATTTTTTAAAAGATGTAAGCTTTAACAACAACAATAACGGGACAATGAAAAATCAATTTTTTAAAATAATTTAATTATATGTAAGAGCACTCAAATTACCTTTTTCTTTCGATGGTACTTGATATTTCAGATGAATGTACCTACTGACCACTACAACTATTACGTAGACTACGTAAAGAATAACTAATCCTGTAATTTTTTCAGAATTTTTAAAATCAATTTAAATTATTTTTTAAAGTAATTTTACAAACTATAAGTATAGAAACAGTACCTATAGCGTGGTATACGTAAATAAAACCTGTATAACAAAGGTAGAAAACCCAAGCTGTTCCTCCAATATAGAAAAATATGTCTCTAAGAAATGGTCTTTTCATAATTGTAAAAGACTTAATTAGGAATATTGAACCAGCTACTACTGTGGTTACAAATATACCTGCCCCTGTTAAAATTATAAATATTTTTCATTAATAAATTGCAGAAAATTATTCTATTTAATGTTAATTAAATCATTTATTTACTTACCTATTAATCCTCCTATTACAAGATCAGTTTTTCCTTGTTGAATACCAGCAATAGCCGAAAATATATTAGGAGAACCATTTCCAAAGGCTAACAAAGTTACTCCCTGTTTATATATGTTAAGGTTAATATATTTATTAATTATTTTTTATAATTAGAATGTATTTCTGTGGTTCTATAATAAGTAATTTGGTTAACAAGTATTTCCATATTTTATTATTATTTTATCACTTACATGTTTGAGGTTGTTTATGTGTCTATAGATGTATTTATATAGTGAGTGCATGGATGTATATGTGTTTATATTGTATGCAAGTGTTTATTATGCATAAGAATACAGATGTGAATATAAGTGTATATTTCTATCGTTGATTTTAAATACGTATCTGTAATTTATACATGTAGGTATGTGTCTGAACATTATACAAGTATGTTATTTATAATAATATGTGTTTACGTGAATGGTTAATTGATTGTCAAATATATTTACATATCTAAATATATCTGTATGTATAAAAGTATTTTATTTGTACGTATGTTCTATATGTATGTTTGTCTTCTGTACCTTCTATACGTAAGATATGTTTAAAGCAATTTACAATAATAAAACTTTCAGCTACACAATACAATTTATAATTAATAACATAAATATATTTTAATAGAATTAAAAGATACAGCAACATTCTGAGACATCTTCAAAGTTTTCGAAATGACAAAAAGTGCAGGACATAAGCTATAGGAAAAAAATAACAATTGATTCAATAAAATAAACAAAGTTATAGTAAATATTAGAAATTATTTGAAACGTAACAAAGTCATATAAAATAGCTAGAAGCTATACACATGTTAGAAACTCTTATGGATAAATTTTATCGCGAGTTCTGCTCTATGTATTTCTAGTGATGACAACGACTATATACTAAACCTATATACAAGTCGAAATCTCACAGTTTTACAATTTTAGAACAACAAATGGTTCACTTCAGAATGTAAATAGATTTTATGTTTGTAAATCTGACGTTGTCATCTTCAATGTTATATTGGTTGTTAGTTTAAAATTAGAGGTATAAAACAGAATATCTACTCACAAGCCATTTGCTGTTATCCCTAGACCAATAAATAACAACAATAGCCATAAAACCTGATGGAAAAGAGAAAAAATATATTACTAAAATTATTATATTACTTGTAATTTATTGGTTTCTATAAAATCGAATTTAAATATAGCCTATTTATTTCCTAGACCAATGAATAACAACAATAGCCATAAAACCTGATGGAAAAGAGAAAAAATATGTTACTAAAATTATTATATTACTTGTAATTTATTGGTTTCTATAAAATCGAATTTAAATATAGCCTATTTATTTCCTATAGAAACAAACAAAAGATCACAAATTAAAATGTTCAATTGTGATTTATAAGTATAACACAATCAAAATTTTGATTCAGTTTCTAATTGCATTTTGTTAAAAACATGCAGATTTTTAATTGTTTTTATGTAATAAACACAATTATATTTTTAAAATGGTGCCTTTAAATTCCGTTTTATTAATAATTATTATTAATTGAGTTTTCAATAAAAAATAATAATAATTGTCATGCGATTGTCAGAGGCCTTGGCCTCTGACAATTGCAGTCCAATCCTGACGATCTCTTGCACGTTTCCTCCAATCACCGATTCCCGTCTTCCTCAAATCATTCTCCTCATCATTGCCATTGCTTCCGTGGTCTTCTACATCTCCTGCCACACGGATTTCCTCTAGAGATCTTCTTAGCAGCTCTATCATCTGACATTCGCTCAACATGAACTAACCATCTAAGTCTGTTTCTCTTTATTTCCACAACTATATCAGTATAACCATACAGTTCTACTAATTCATTGTTTTTCCGCATACTGTATTGCCCCGCCTCACACACTGCTCGAAATAACTTCCGTAGAATTTTCTCTCCCATCTTCTCAAGAGTTCTTCACAGCCAGTCATTGTCCATGTTTCCGAACCATACATCACCATCGGTCTAATAACTGTGCGATAAACAGCCACCTTCAATCTTCTACACAGGCTACGATATTTGAGAATTCTAATCAGGGCCCAGTAAGCTCTATTTCCTCTGCAATCCTTACCTTTAACTCTTAAGTTGTTATCACTAGTTACCAGTACTCCCAGGTACTGTAATTTCTCACATTTCACATAGTTGACACCGTTCAACTTGATGTATTTGTCTTCCCTAGCAGCAACTTTCCTAGACAAAAACAAGTACTACGTTTTACTGTGGTTCACACAAAGCCCCAATTCCTCCGCCTCACTTTCCAATCTACGAAATCCTTCTTCTGGCTTTCCCAGGTTACGAGACGGGATACCAACATCATCCGCATAAGGTAAACTTTGGTTAACACAGTTGAACAGATTGCCAGTTTGTAAATTGCCCTCCACTCCACTCCACTCCATCTCATCACTCTCACCAGAACTACGTTAAACAGCAGTGTGGATAACACACCGCTCTGCCGTAAACCTTGATTAATTTCAACTAATATAGTAAAATTTCCCTCTACTTTCACTTGACATTTCGTGCTGGCGAGAGTCATTTGCACCAATCTGATTAATTTACATGGAAACTCCATATCTATCAACATCTGGTACAAGGACCTCCTGTTCACACTATCGTAAATCCACGTAGAGTTGGTGAACATCCATATTAAACTCATAGCACTTTTCCATTATTTGCTTTATAGTGAAGATGTGATTCATCGTTGATCTACCTTGCCTAAATCCACAATGGTAGTCACCCAGTCTCTCTCTCTTCTACTAGTGGAGTGTGCTTTCTTTCCATGACTTTAGCTAAGACCTTATACACAGTACTAAGTAAAGATATACCACGATAGTTTTTGCATATTGCTCTCTCCCCCTTCTTATGAATCGGGCACACAACGGCCAGCCCTTCACTGATCGGGCATCTCTTCCTTTTCCCATACTTCTAATATCAACTGGTGAACAAGCAGTGTCAACAGTTCACTCCCCCGTACTAAATCATCTCTGCTGCAATATTATCACTCTGTGGTGCCCTATTATTCTTCAGGCCTTTATTTTCCAGTCTAACTTCCTCTCCGTTGGCATGAGTATTTGTAATACATCACACACAGCAATCGTCCACTGTCGCTCGTACTCAGTTTCATCTTGTTCTGGTATTATAGTTTCTGCAGTAGCGTTCAACAGTTCACTAATATATTCAGCCCACCGATCCAGGATCTGTCCTTCTTCCACTATAAGATTTCCATCTTTATCTCTGCAAAACACGGTACGAAATTGAAACCCTTCTTCTGTTCCTGTATTCTTTTATAGAAATTCTTACTTCCTGGTCATTGTATTCTTCCTCCAACTCTGCAATCTATTTCTACTCTCTCTTTATTCTACAGAGTTTGTCTGCCTCTTGCATACATTTTTTTATAACTACATAATACAAAAGCTCTGTTACGTTTCTTAACTAGTTACTGCATATATAACACGTTACGTTATACAGATATTAGTATTCTGATGAAAGTCCAAAGATGGAATTTTACGCTGAAAATTAACATGCTAAAATCTAGCTATTGTTTACTATTGTTTATGACGTTCTATATTACATAAATATACCGTTTTGAGATAATAATAAATTTGAAATTAGTACACTTACACTAAGTCCAACAGCAATTCTGTCACCTTCATTTCCAAAAGAACAGTATATATAAGCGGTGTAATCGATATAACTAAGAGTGCTTCTACAATCAAGTGTCGTTCTCACAAAGTTACAACGTTGATTCTCATCTATACCATTCACGGCACGACACTACAAGTAAAATTAAATTCAAATATATACAATTATACATTCCGTAAATTTATTTAATAATAAAAAAAATGTTTAAAGCAATTTACTTTTGTGTAATTGCACAGAAGCCGACAATGTAATTTAAATAGCCTAGTGATAAACGTAGATAAAAGTAAATTATATTTGAATAAATTAAAGTCGTAAATATATATTAAAAATAAATTATAAATAAAATTTTTTTTCAAATCGGGTGAGTATAAAACCGAAAGTCTCGAAAATAAATCAAGAAAAAATAGTATTTGATATAAGCGAATGAATAAAAATTTTTCTTTAGAGATGTATCTGATATCTCATCATTAGCTACATTCCTGTAAGAGTTATTGAATGTCTTTCTTTGCCAAGTATTTTGTACCACAGTGAAGACATACGATGCTCAATGTCAATCTGTCACCAAACCATTAGTCTTCTACTGTCTTGTAAAAGTCGCTTTTCTGACTATAACAGAAAGAGAAGTAGGAAAACTTATTTTATTGGTTTTGATAGAACCGGAAGAACGGTTTCTATTGTACTATTTTAGATGAGATTTTTTTGTTTTTAATTAATTAATTACGTTTAGTCTTCATTGAGTACTTAAGGGTATTAAATAGATAACATTTCAGACATTTTTATAAATATTTTTATATATTTCGATTTTTTAACCAAATGTTCGAACCGTTTTAAATTTGAATTTCTTTCTGCGTATTGGTTCGATTATAAAACGATTGTAAACGTTCCAGAAAATTTATCAAATTAAAAACAGTTCGTTTGATTCACATCATTCTCAGCGGTAGTTGTTAAATAACAATTACTATGATTGTTGAAATATTGAATATAAATAGGGTTTGCTTGCAAAATCCGCGCGAGCGAAGCCGCGGGTAACAGCTAGTATATATATATAAATGGACATGTATGTCCCTATATTTCACTTTTTCGCAAAAACTACACATCGCACGTGAATGGTGTTTGTATGTGGTGGTAGCCCCAAGTCTCCATTCGTGCATAGGGGTGGTTGCGTCTCGATAGCTATAAGGGTGCGGGAGATATGAGGCTGAAAGTGGTTGAAAGTGGCTTTCTATTTCGAATGTTTTGTTCGAATTTGTTCGAATTTAATTCGAACATAAAATTCGAATATTGGTTCGATTATAGAACGATCGTAAACGTTCCAGAAACGTTGAAAATAGTTCGTTTGACTGGACGTAAACAGGAGACGTTCAGAAATAAAATCGGGACCAGGAAGTGTTAATAAAAAGCGGCATGCAAGATTTACAGGCGGTTTTTTGCGCTTTTGCGGGAAATCGAACATATTTTTATGCTCATGTAAAAATTTTCTGGAAACGTCTGGAAACGAAAGACCTAATTCTTGCATTTTGTGAAAACGGGTAAGATTGGCTATAATGTAATTATCTTACTCTTCACTATCGTTACTTATTGCCCACAAATAAAAACCCAGCGAAGTGGGTCCTTGCAGCTAGATTTTAGATTACTTAGAAAAGCAGTCTTTTATATATATATATAAGAAAAAAACTATATTACATACAAATGTACGAACAAATAAAAACCCTGCGAAGCAAGTCCTTGCAGCTAGTATAATATAAAAATTATAAACATGTTTGTAAAAAGCTTACCGTTTCAGTAGTGTTATTCATATTTAATTTTCTATATGCATGTGTAAGGTTTTTGTATAGACAGTCTATATATAGTAATCTCTCGATTGACGCAATTGTGTTTATTGTAATAACGCCGTTTAAAAATTGATAACAAGTTTCAAATAGTGTAGTGTTATTTTTAGAAGAGATTTATTTACTTTTATTACAGTCGATTTTTTTACAGCTCTCAGCACACACTTGGCATGCTACCTGAATGACGAAGCACAGGTAAAAATGATATTGACTCTGGCCGAACTTACTTTCAAATTTCTTTATGGCTCACCATTGGCCAAGCGGTTCTGTTCTCTGAAAACTGAGTTCGATCGTGGGTTCGCGCCTGGCCACGACGGGCTGGCCACGTGGAGTTTTTCGGGTTGTCTCCACATTTGTAACGCCTGAATAGGGGCCAGTTATACTTAAAAAGACATCCCAGAAGGCATTCCCGTAAGCCAGGGCTTCTTAAACTATTTTATTCACGACCGCATTTATGATTGTGACTTTTTTCGCGACCCCCCAAATATAAAATAGAGATATATACAAACTTGCAAAAACAATAATGGTGTACTACCACAGTTCACTCTTGTGCTACAATGGAACAGAGACAACTGAATACACTGATAAGCGACAACACTACACTAGTTCACACTACAATCAGTGTTGCTGAATTGTTGTCTCGCTGCACCAGAAGTGCCACAAAACGCAACTCACGAAACCTATGACACACAGCGTGCCATTTTCAAACTCTCATAAATTATTTTCAATATTTTGCATTAAAATCTCGCGACCCCAAGATTTCGCTAAACGATCTCAAATGGGGTCACGACCCATAGTTTAAGAAGCTCTGCCCTAGGCAGATCGTCCAAGTGTTGCGTTGCCATAACTTAACAAAACAAACAAACAAATAAATTTCTCTAAACTGTTCTTATGGGAAATTGACAGGTATGGCATAATTTTGTCCATATTTTGAGAAATTGTATTATCTTTTGTCAATATTGGTACATAAGGAAGTGATATCATCACAACTTTGCTTACTTTCCAATCGGAACAGAATTCTAAGTTTCCTGTTTATTATAAATTTACTAAAAGCACAAGCACCAATCCCAATAACCCGGGACCCATTTAGCACCCAAAAAAATTTTAAGTAGTGTCGTGTCACGTAAAGTTAAAGTATAAAAAATTTTTTATTAATTTAAGGCCGCGTGGATTGCCTCTTAGAGTGAGTCCTTCTTAACGATGTAACCCCATGGGTACAAGTCATACCACAATTCTTACCCAGAGCTGCGGGTTATTCGAATAACAGTTCTAGAGTATTCACTTAAATAGTGTATATACTTGCGATTTGAGACGTATTTCATATCGTGTTTAGTAGAGGTACTAGATTTAATCTGTCGGATTAACAAGGATTTCATTAACCAAGATTACTTGATACTCTATGGCCGAGGAAGTTGAAGTATCAACCTATCGTTATGAGAGATCCAGGATTTGGATTAGCAGTTGCAAACATTTTTCATTTTTTATTCCATGTGCTCGATTACTCATTGCTCATTGTAGGCTCCGTCGAACCCGTGATGGCTATAGCAAAAATTCCTTTAGTGTCGTCGGGGCAAAAAAATTAAAGATAAACATGATAAAATTTTAAAAAATTCATCCTAAATAATCGGATAAATTTTATTGTGTATAAATATCTATTATTTAAACTCTAAACTATTAAATTTTGTATAAAATATTTTAATATGCCGTATTTCATCAGATTTGGATAAAATATCCAAACTGTTACGTTTATATCTAAATACAGAATACGTAATTGTTTTTTTTAATTAAAAATATTCGTATTTTGAATTCTTTTGTGAATACAAAATTTTAAAATTTATTGCCAAACTTTCAAATGTAGTAAAATCTGTTTAAAGAGACCATCTATAAAACGGAAACTTTCCTACACGGGAAAAAAAACTCGGAACGAAACGATTTTTTTAATGTAAAATCTGTATATATAAATAAGGATGTTTGTTTGTTCGCTATACATTACAAAGCCGTTCGACCAATTGCTACGAAACTCGGTAGTTACGTTGGAATACTTCGAACTTAGATCATGTCATAATCCCACCCTAAATTATCGATTGGATTTCTTTTTACATTTGATTGCTGGCTTTAGATATAGCGCCTTTTGATTGGAAAACATTTAACAAAACAATTAACTAAATATAATTCTTACAAAAAAAGGATATAACTTTGAAAAATATGTATTATATTAACTGAATTGCTGAAACAATGATATAGCGCAAAATACGTTACGCCATTACGACATTACTGGGACAAGCAGCACTTAGCACTTTCTGCGTGGAATGTATTGATAGTAGTGTTTTGCTTCTATACGCCATACTTTTCTTGTTAGCAATATAGTCGTACTGGTTTGATATCTAACTCTATTCAACAAAAATTTTTAATTTAAATAACGTGACTTGCGGTACAAATCGAAAGTTCGTATAGAGTTATTCCGATACCCCTTCTTTTACGATTTCCGTATCTGGTCTCGACTTTCATCTATCTAACTCCGTTCTCAAGATTAAGGAAAAAGAGAAGAACGACAATGAGAATTTATGATACAATTTTTTCTAAAGGCAGCCCAATAAGTACCCTTCAGTAACCGAGTAGATGAAACCACCGAACATCGGTAATCTGTCGTTGGTTCGCGCATAGCCAACGGAGTGACCACGTGGTGTTTTCTTGGTTTTCTTATGTACGAAGACATGCTTACCTGGGAAACCTGGACATTCGACCCTCTCCCTAATTACATCTCTCTTTCATAACTCATAAATCCATTGCTCCAAACTTACTACAGATACTGCTTAAGATGTTCTAACGTTCAGTCAAATTAATGTACTGTACGTGCAACGACTTTAAGGCACAGAGTAGAGCTCGAAGTCTTTTTCTGTGCCGATGTTTATTTTTCCTATTAATTATTATGGCGACATTGCTTCATTCAAAATTTTCTGTAGTTGTAGTCTGTTTAATGGGCACCCTTGTATACATGTTGAGTCTTACTGTCAAATCTGCTTTCAGTATTCTTATCATACAACTTACAAAAGTTTCCGTTACTTAAGATTTTCGGTAGCAATTTCATAATATAATTGTAGTGGGACAGAATTTTTTGGCATTACAGCAGCTAAAATGTACATCGTAATTAGCGCACGTAAAAGACTATTGAAATTTGAAGTAGATTATTTTTGATTGTGTGTTTTTGCTGGGCTTTACTTTTGCTGAATGGTTTCACCAGTATTTTACGTGATCACATAAAAGCATTATTCTCGCATTTTTACAAGATTTTTTTTCTGTTTAAACAAGTCTCATATCAAGTCTTTCGTACGTTAAGGTAAGCAACTTTGATTACATATGGGGTCATTACAACCTATCCAACAGGGATCATTTTTCCAATATTAATAGTAGACCAGTATTAAGTAGTAGTCGTTGACTATCCTCTCTTCCAGGAGGAGAACAACTCCTTCTTTTGGTCGAATTAACTTCAACCTCCATCTGCAACAGCCCCTTCTTCCTATCGAAACCACCGGTATTGTGACATTCGAATAGGAAGATTATACAATATGTGTTACATTGATCACTTGGTGTGCAAACCCTTATGTAAGATAACGTTTGTAGTTATATAAATCAAATACTATAATATAATAATATAATAAAAGAGAAGTACGAGATAATCTAATAATCTTAATGTTTGTATATATTATTTGCCCGGACATACGTGCTATATTTTAGTTTTAAAAATATTATTATAAAAAATAAACACCTGTTATGAGATTTTATTTAAAGAATAATTTTATACATTACACTGGTGTCTCGTACTTTAAATTTAATTCATTTTAGGAGGCCGTTCGAACTCCGAATTGCTTAAAGTACGAAGCTATTTTTCCCATTAGAAATAATGGAAAGAGAATTAATTTATTTCCAGACCCCAAAGAATACATTTCTATAAACTTAAAACAGCAAATATATATATAATTTAAGATAAAAATAACACATTTCAATGCCCTAATACTAAATTAAATTACTAAATCAATAAATCAAATACATAAGTAATGTATAATAAAATAAAAATTGCGTTTATTGGCACACCGTAGACTTTGGCATCTTAAGCATGGCTCCCAGATCTGCCACACATGTACACGCTTTTATGCTTTGCGATAAGTTCCTGTTTCGTCTTAGCTTTTTTCGAGCCTTCCAGTTGCTAGGTTAGACTTCGTTCCTTCGTCACACTTCTCGAATGCAACAATGTTAATTAATAAGCAATGGGTACATTGGGTTGAACAGAAAGTTTTTACGTATTTTTAACACTTGTTCTTACTTAACATAGATATGTGATTTAATTATAACAGTTATTGCTAATTTCAAATTATATTATTTGTTGATAAGCTTATTTTGCACTTCGTGTACATTTTTCATTTTGCGCAGACTGTTCGAACTTTAAAGCATCGTTCGAACTCTGAAGCATTCGGAGTTATAGTCGTTCGATGTACGAGGTATCGTTGTATATGTTTACAATCAAACTTCTGAACAAAGACCACTGACAGAAATATTTAAAATCGGCGTGTTTTGAAGGTCGTTTTATATAAATTTTAAAAACGTTCCTGAAAAATTGCCGTTATTAAGTTGTTCGACTGTATTTATTTTATCTGAGTGACTTTCATCTATATTCATACACAAGATTCGGAACTTACAGCTGAATACAATATTCTATAATGCTGAAATTTGAACAGCAACTGAAGTAATAGACAAAATCATGGAGTCCTTAGGGCATTTCTCAGCTCTAAATATGAAAAACAATAAAATTTTGAAAAAAAATATAGTTGCTGTTCAAATTTCAGCATTATAAAAAATATATATATAAATGACACCATAATGACGTAAAAGTATATACTATTCTGACGAAAACAAATATAAAAATTGTAAGATGAACTTATAAGAAGTGATATTATAATGAACGTGAAAGTTAATCTTTACATA